GCGGAATGAATGAACTCTCTCAAATTTAAGCCTTCTCTGCCCCTGGTATCCACAGTTAGTATATCACAGTGCCTGACTCTTCCCGGTGGCTTAACACTCGTTTGCGGAATGAATGAACTCTCTCAAATTTAAGCCTTCTCTGCCCCTGGTATCCACAGTTGCAGGAAGGAGCCAGATTTTCACATTTCCGTGTTTTCTTTTTTAGTATTACAAAAAATCTGGTCAGGAAGCCTTCAGTTTGATAAGCTGGCTCTTGTTGTTTCCAGTTAAATAACAAAGTGCTCTTGAAATAGCTTATTTTCTGTATTTGTTCCATTCAGGGGGCAATATTAGAAAGCACTGGAAATAAAAGATTTCATTTATAAGCTATCCTGCAGCCCACAGTCGGTAATTCAAAACTATCATCCTATATAAATTGGTATCATTATACCTTGAGAACCTTACTGAAAAATAATATTTGGCGACCTCTGACTTGCAATATATTGCTCTGAAGGCAAGAATAATACAACAGGATTTGTTCTCATGGGAGATTTCTGTTTGGAATTTTTAGGAGAGAAATATGTTAGATCTTCACAGGACCAATCTTATGAAAAATTAAGTGATTAATGGGCTCTGGGCTTTACAAGTGAGATTCTGGCTTAAGACCTAAATAGTACAGGGTCCAGACCATGCCTTTTGGGAAAGAAGGAACTGAAAGGAAATCAGAAATTTGACCATTTCTTAGCAGATTGAGCCAAATATTCCACTATTCATACCTGCTCAGTGGCCCCAGCTACTTTCTTTTGTATTAATCCCACTTGTATAGGGCACCTTTGATGAAAATGATAATCAGAGTTATCGCTCCAGGCAATGAATAAGAAAATTTGACAGGGGCACGTCAAATATCTTATCATGATTATTTGAAATATTGGAATTCGGAGGGAATATTTAGGGAGGAATATTAAGATGGGGAAGGAAGCAAGATATTTTAGTGGAAGGAATCTGTATGCTTAATGCAGCTGTAGATTTGTCTGCAGGTGAAAATTGCCTACAGGAAAAACTGTCAACAGGAGGTAGCTGGCCAGAGCAAAGGCAGTGCATTATGAACGAGGATTCAGGCATGAGAGCTGTCCCTGAAACTCCTGCACCCCGGCCTTTGGCACACAGTCTGTGTAAGATACGTGCTTCTTAAACACTTGGAGAACGAATGAGTGACGAAGGTTAGGAGTCATAATTGTATCTGGAAGGCATTTGTAAAAATTAATAGACTACTTTTGAGCAGTTTTAGATTTATAGAAAAATTGAGTAGGAAGTACAGAATTTTCAGGGGCCGGCCCGGTGGCGCACTGGATAGTGCGCCGCTTGGGAAGCGCGGCTTCCCGCCCGAGGGTTCGGATCCCACATACAGACCGGTTCCCGCTCACTGGCTGAG